TTGATATAAATTTTATCAAAAATGAGTTAAAACTTACTGAATTATTACTGAAAACCTGTTTAAAGACTCTTTAATTTCTTGTAGATTACTTAGAATCTATCTGTAGCAATTTAGAAAATTTATTGCTTGCTCTGAATTTTTCATTTTTTTTTCTAACTCTAAATGAATTTAGATTACAGGATTCTGCTCACAAGATCTGGAAATTTTATTGGTCATCTAGAAAATTTATTGGCTTTTTCAAAAATCTCAAATTACTCAACTAATTTTTATCTGTTTCTATCTGTTTTTTTTGCAAAAGATAATTAAAACCCAAAATTACTAGAATATTCTCTTCTAATAATAAACCAATATCTACAAAATATCTATTTTAACCTCAACTGAACTAAACACTATCAACTTAGACTTCTTCTATACCAAATATTCTAGTAGTTTTAGTATTGCTTTTCTTGAAAAAAGTTTAACTACTCTATATCTAATTCCTACAAAAAGTACATCTTTAGCCTGTGTTACTAAAATTTTCTGAAGTGATAACAAGGTTATTCACTTTATCAAAGCTTCTTCAACTACTGCTACTACCTTCTACTTTTATAATAAATATTATACCAAATTTATTACTACTAACAACAAACTTTTCAAGCTAGTTCAAACTAACTTTATTCTTTTTGTTGCTAATACTAAAAACAAAAATATTCAAAAAATACTACAAAGCATTACTACATTAACTGATAATATTCCTTCTTCATTTACTCTAGTTACTCATTAACATTCTTGCCAAAAATATCAACAACTAATCTCTTGCAAAGTCACAAACAACCAACATAAGCTTAGCAATGATACAACTTTCCAAAATAATAATACTTTTATTACACCTGTTTAATATCTGAAGTTGCTAAAACTTCTATATCAACTAGTTTTATGCAATATCCTTAACTTCTATAATGAATTATACTGCTATTAGGAAAAATCTCTTAGCAATATTTCAACAAAATTAAACAAAATCTATTGCTACTTCTATTACTTTAACAATAGTCTTACTTAATACTTAACCAAAAACCACATCTCCTACTTTAATAGTATCAATTCCTACAAACAATACTTCTTAAATATGGAAATTGATATTCCTACAACTTAACTACTAAAACTAAACAACTAAATCTATCTCCTAAAACTCTCTTGCCAACTTATACTAACATACTATCTATTCTATTATCACTAACTATTTAGCAAATTAATCAAACTACTGAAATCTCTACTAAAAACTTTTTTCATAATATGGATATTGATGACTCCTTACAATATTTAAACAACTCTACTCCTATTATTAAAGGGAAAAATAAGAAGCTAAATACTATATCAACTAGCAACCCAAAACAAAAATCTGAAAGTCAAAACAAAACAGCCTAAAGTATTTTTTAATTAGTTTAAAAATTTTCTCATCACTGAAGAAATAAAAAATTAAAAAACTTGAAACTCTTTTATCATTCTAAGTTTTTGAATTTCTCCAAAACTACTTATACAACTTCACTTCTAGTAAAGAAATTAAACCTGTAACAGCAAATCAAAAAGCTCTTAAAACTAGTTTTTATAATACAATTTGAATTATAGCTAGCCAACATTCTAAAATTTTAACTAACTTAATATTTACTTCAAATCCAACTATTAGCAGAGAAGCTACAATCTCTTTTGAAATATTAGAATCAATACTTAAAAAATTAATTTACAAATTTACTACAATCCTCTTTACCAAAATAAATTATACTGAAATATTTGCATCATGCTTAACTATTCTACCATATATAAACAAAAACTGTATTCACCTTTATTTTAATATAGCAAGGATCTATTTATATCTTGATAATATCTATGAATACCAAACAATTGATTATATCAAGTTTGCTGAGGACTTTCAACTCAGACCTAAAATATATGTAGTCTCTTTATCAACTATTAGTATTGATAAAAAAGAATCCTATTTTACAATTAAATATGATAAAAAATTTAATATTCATCTCTTTTTCAACTTATCTAAAACACTCTTCCTTGAAAAATTTAACATTCCTTCTCTTAAAAATTCTTTAGAGCACTTCAACAAATAGTTTGAAAGATTCTTTACAATCTATAACTATCAATTTGATAAACCCTTAAACAAAACAAAAGTTTATAATATTCTAAAATACCAATTTTGATTTTAATTTATTTTCTAATTAACAAAACTCTTACTCTAAAAATATGATATTTCAGAATCACAAATATTTCAAAAAAAAATAAAAGTACTAGATATACTAACATTCATATATTAATATGCAAGAATAAAAAATGCATACTTCTTACTAACAAACAATATAACTTTTCTAATGTTTTCAAATGAGTATTAGAATATTCATATAAACTTTATTCAAAAAAAGATAATGAGACTTAGAAACAACTAACTTTTGATAATTCTTCTTTTGAAAAAAAGGAAGAGTATGAAGTTATATTCAAAAGACCTATTTTTACTCAACTGCTCAATAAACTTGCTGACCAAGCAGAAAAGAAAGCATATGAACTAAACAAAGTAGCAACAATTACTAGATACAGAAGTTATTACTTATATAAATATCTTGAACTATACTATAAAGTTGTATTTCAAAACTCTAATCTCAAAAACTTAACAAAGTAACAAGTTATTGACAAACTATTTTCAAAAGTAGTTAATACTTTTATACTTGTAAGAGTTATTACCTACTTTGATATTATTCAAAACCAAACTATATCATACTCAGATATTATCAAATATTTTAAAGACAAAGCATATTCTTCAGCTGATAATAGGATAAAAGAAATATTCCAAATTAATTACAAGAAACCAACTACCTTGGAAAACTTCTTCTTCTTATCCTCTTCTTTTCAATAAGGTCTTCTATATATATGGATGCAACTACTACCTCAAAATTGAATCTTCCTCTTACTGTTAGTAAGCTAATTCTTGAGAAGAATAATATAAATAGGCAGATAGTAAAGCCTATTTATATGACAACTTAGGTAAATGATAGTTAGACTCAATATACAGAGCAGACTCTTGAGTTCAGCATAGCTGAGAAAACTGAGTATACAGTGAGTACATATATAGAAGACTCTTTAGTGCTTCCAATCTCAACATCATTAAAATTTTTTGAAATACTAATCTGTTATAATATTTTCTTAAAATATCATAACTTTCTCTATTAAATTCTGACCAAACTATTAGATCCTTTATAAAATATCTAAAAGAACAAAAATTCACTAATTCAACAAGATTTTCAATTAACAAACAGCTTAATAATGCTTATATTTATCCTTTATATAGTGATAATATCCTTCTAAACCACACAATACTTAATCACTTTACCTTTCTCAATATTATAATATCCTTCTTAAAACTTACAAATTTTATACTTCCTAAATTTGATAATAGTTTAAACATCTCTAATTCTATAACAAATCTTCTAACACTACTAAATACTAATTCTACTCTTTACTTTAATATAATAACTCATAATGTACAGAGCTTCAATATTCTAATCAAAAAACAGCTTTGAGAAGAGTATTGCTTAAAAGAAAACTTTAATATTATCAGTATTACTGAAACTAAACTCAATTCACTACAATCATAAAAATTTTTAAATTCTAAATACTTTACTTATTTCTGAGCAAGCTTTAGAAATTCAGCTGAAAGAACTGTACTTATAATTAACAACAATCTTAAACCATATATTTATAATATAATAACACACTCTGAAAGAGCTATTGCTATTGATCTCTTCTTTAAACATGATTTCAAATTTGAATTATATTTATCTACCTATCAACTTCTAATAAATTTCATCAAGAAAAAAAAAATATTCAACTCTTTCCGCTGATCATCAAAACCAATACCAGAGCAAAAACTTTTTTACAAAACAAGCACTAAACTCAAGGAAACCTAGTAAAATATTAGTTTGAAACAGAAGTGCGTAGTGTATAGTGTTAGAGGTAAAATCAGTATACCAGAAAAAGAAGAAACCGAGCCTTAAAATAATTCACAAAGCCTAAGAACTGATCCAAAGACTCACATGCCAAATAGAACTCAGACAGCATATGAAGATTCCACAAGACTAATGATCGACAAATTAGTAGTTAAACCCAAAAAGGTATCATAAGATAATTAACCCGATTGTCAAAGAAGCAGCTTAGAAATAACAATTGGTTAAATTAACTATATCCAAATTAGTTCGTAGCTATGTCTCAGCACCATGATAAATTTTAAGGTTATTCATTGAAAATAACAAAGTGAAACCTTCGTTCTTAGATCTTTTTCTTTTTTCTTGTTTTTTTACTGTACTTCTAAAATTGTTATAAAAGAACTGTAAATTTGACAAACATGTAAGGTAGATTAGATGCAATCTCAATCTGATCAATAAAATAAAATTCTTATCTTTGCTTAATGTTTTACTACTGCCTTATCTTGTGCCAAATCGAATCTTGCCTCTTTTTTAGGTAGTGTCACGTTATACTGCATCTTGAATTTCTTAGTGATACTGTCACACTATTTCTTTTAGTTAGAGGTAGAGTTAATAGCTTCTGACAATTTGTAGTGGTGACTGTGAGATAGAACACAACCTACGTTTACTTGGAAAATTTATTTTTTTTTTAAATTCGTTTTGTGAAAATTTTTATGAATTTTTTTGTTGTGAATTTTTTTTTGTTGTGAATTTTTTTTTGTGAAATTTTTTTTGTTATACTAACCTGTATGTGTTAGTTTTTGTTGTATTCCACAAAAGTAAACAATAGCATAAGAAAGTCATGAAAAAATAAAAAAAATAAAAAAAAAAAAATGTACAAAATATACCAACCAACCACTTCCAATCTGAACTATTGGCAATATGGAAGCCAAACGAAAACATCCCGATGTCAGCAAGTTCCAAGAAACTGAGAAAGTACTCAAAAAAGAAATTGTGTTCCTACTATAAAAAAGAAACCCATGCAGTTAGCAAGTGCCTAAAATGAAGATGATACAACTAGAATATCTAGAGTTGCTAGACATACTTACTGAAGAACAAACTACGAAAGCCTATGAAATGATAGATGAGACCATGAAAAACCTTAGTTTTGATAACCCCAAGACTTAAAATATTTTTTAGAAGTATTAAAAGATATTAGTCTAGATAACAACTCGAATGACGATGACCAAGAAGAGGAGATTATATACTTGCCCTCGTACGTTCAATTGGCTTCACCTGTGAAAAAAAAGGTTCTGCCCCAGTGCCTCCAGTGGTCCCAAGTCCAAAGGTTCTCGAGTTTCAAGTTGAAGCCAAAGAGATCGATGCAGAGAAACTTCTCCAGGACCTAATTTCTGAATATAATATCATAGCAAAAAAGTGGTCTCCCCAAAAAGAAGCTTCCGAAATTGGCTTTGAAAAAGATGAAAACAAGGTACCTAAATGTTGTAAAAAGGTAACTGATAAGGAAGAGACTGGGGAAATATATAACTGCGAACCCTGCTGTCAAAATGAAATGAAGATTAATGAAGAAATTGGAGTCGAAAAAGAACAATCCAAAAATGAAGAAAACAAAGATGAAATATACTCCGTGCATCTAAAAGACACCAAACTCGATGAATTTGGTTATGAAGCTGATAACGAAGATGATAATGCTGACCCTGGCAAAGTTGATAGTGAATTTGACGATAGAACAGTTGTTGCCAAAGATGATAGGCTTGAAGTATTCGAATGGAACATAGACCTTGATAAAGCCTACAAAAGTTGAACAGAAAGAGTCAAGAAATTTAGATTAAAATATCGAATAGAAATAAATAGCCTAGTGGGAGGAACTAACGAAGAAGAAAGAGAAATGGATGAACTTACTGCTCGTATAACCCAGGTATCCAAAATAAAAACCGAAACTCCAGAAGGAAAAGATGTAGAAAGTAAATCTAGAATTAAAAGGAAAAAAGAATTAAAGTCAGAGCAAGACAACACAGCTTGGATTACAAACAAGAAGACATTAGAGAAATTCTTCTGGCACTTACCCTTGACTAAATCTAATTTCAAGATATTTGACCCTGACGGATAAAATTTTTTTTAGAATAATCAAAATCTATTGATCAAAAAAAAAAAAAAAAAAAAAAAAAAAAAAAACGTGGAATGTAGAAGCCTACTCGAGTTACTCACTACAAAGCAAGTTGAGTATGATCAGTTGTATGTATAGAAGACATGAGGCAACTGAAGTACCAGGCCTCTGCAAGTCACAGCATGCTCAGGAAGCAACCATGGAGTGCAGCAGACGTAATATCCTGGACCCATACTTGTAAAACATCATTGGCCAGTTAGTGCGTGTTTAGATCCTATGACTATCTGTAAGATCTCATAGAGGATCACACAGATATGATTCTTGCTTCATAACCTATTGGACTTAAAAAAAAATATAAAAAAAAAAAAAAAAAAAATTTTTTTTTTACCTGAAGTCAACTTGAACTATGTCGTTCCGACTTCTATTTGCATCCCAATCTTCTTTTTTTTTTTTTCCTTTCAATATATTTTTTTGTTTGTATCAAAATTATTTTTTTTTTGTTTTGTTTAGTTAATTCTTATTGGTTACACATGATAGTTACACATGTGGTTGTGGGTATATAACAAGAGACATTGAAGTTCTCTTCGTTTGAGTCGTAAACATATTTTTATTTTGAGATTTTTTTTTTAGTTTTATTTAAATTTTGTTTAAAGCTTAATTTTTAGTTAGTTTTTTTTGGTCTATATTTTTTTTTTATTTTCTTTTAGTTTAGTTTATTTTTTTTATGCATAAGTTGAAGCTCCCCAAAAAATGACAAATACCTTATGAATTGAAAACACCAGAGATCCATGAACTTGATTTTTCACGAGACATGAAAAATTAAGGGGGGAAAGAATTGTCAGAGGCAAAATCGGTATAACAGAAAAAGAAGGAACTGTGCCTCAAAATAATTCACAAAGCCCAAGAACTGATTCAAAGACCCACATGCCAAATGGAACTCAAATCGCATGTGAAGATCCTGCAGGACCAATGATCGATAAATTAATAGTTAAGCCCAAAAAGGCATCATAAGATAATTAAACTGATTGTCAAAAATATAGCTTAGAGATATCAGAGAGATAAGTTAACCATATCTGGATTAGTTTGTAGCTATGTTACAGCACCTTGATAAATTTTTAAGGCTGTTCATTGAAATTTACAAAGTGAAACCTTCGTTCTTAGATCTTTTTCTTTCTTCTTGTTTCTTTTCTGTGCTTTTAAAATTGTTATAAAAGAACTGTAAATTTGACAAACATGTAAGGTAGATTAGATGCAATCTCAATCTGATCAATAAAATAAAATTCTTACCTTTGCTTAATGTTTTGCTACTGCCTTATCCTGTGCCAAATCGAATCTTGCTTCTTTTTTAGGTAGTATTATGTTATGCTGCATCTTGGATTTCTTAACGATACTATTGCGCTATTTCTTTTAGTTGAAGATAGAGTTGATAGCCTTCGACAATAGTCCCATAAGACCTTTTAGGCAATAAGTAGCAGAAAGCTAAAGCAGACGGTTTTAATATTTTAGCTGAAAGTTTGTCTTGCAGAATATTAAAGTTAAATAGGAGAAGCTACAGAAGTTTAAAGTCGAGAGATAAAAGAAGAAGTATACTACAGTATTTGTACTGGGACAAATACTTTTATACTCACTTACTTCTACTTGGTTTTTTGCACCCATATATTACCTTCAGTCCTTTGGATTTTCATTTTTTTTCGATTGTAGAGATTTAGCCTACCTCTGAAAAAGGATTAATAATACCACATCCAAATTAGTAAAAACCACATGTTTACAAACCACCCAAAAGTAAACAATGATATACATGATTAGGCAAGCACAGTTAGTAATGAATTAGAATATCTCCTGGTAGCAGAATAGAGATTAACAATTTAGAGATATAAAGTATATTGTAGTATCAGTACTTTATACAATTTTTATAAAAGTCTCGAGAACTATGAAGATAGTACTTGAGCAACATTTTCTTTTCTTTTTTTCTCTTTGTTTTTGTTTTCTTTATATGTTTATTATCTTATATATATAGTATATGCTATAGGGTAATATAGTTCTTTATATATAGTATTTTTATTTTTATTTTTCACTATACAGAAGGGTATTATCAGTTTGAAATACTTAACTGTATAGGTGAGAAGTTATGATGAGCTAGGTAGTTTTATATAGTGATACTGATGAGGAAGGAATAAACTAGTCTAGACTCTAGGTTGAATTAAACTATGTTATAGCAGATCATGAATAGGTACCTTTGGAGTAACTAGTGAGTCTTACTATTGATGTTCGCACTTTAATATGCACTACCTTCTTTGGTTGATAAGTTAGACATTTGTAACCCTTGTAGTTTTATAATTATATTGAATAAATGATAAGGCATAGCTTGCTGAAAAGGAAAAAAAAATATATATATTCAGACTATTTAAAAAAATATTAAAACTGCTTTTTTACTATTTTTAATTATAATTTGAATTTAATATATCAATTTATAGTCATTATAATACTATTTACAATATATAATTAGACTTATATTATAGTGAATTAAAGCAGTTTAAAATATAATTATATCTACTATTATATATAATTTCAAATTAATTCTAATTGTTTAATAATCTTATTAAGTATTATCATTATTATTTTAATATATATATCTATATATAGTTAGTATCTTTTATAGTTACTACTATATGTCTAATCTTGTATTGATTTTAATATAGTAATTAATTGATAGCTAGTTTAAGTCTAAAATAGAAAAAATATAAACATTTAACTATTTCCTAATCAGAAAGCAGAACATAAGTTATTTATTGAAATTGTACTAATATTTGAATAAAAAAAATATTTATTAAGTAGTATTTATATGTTTATTATTGAGAAAGAAAAGATAGAATGATTTTAAATATCTTGTTTATTAAAATCTATAATATAATATAGTATAAAAAGGAAAAGTTACAGTTGATAATAATATGTAGAGAGAAAAATATCTGTAATAAAGATATACTTATATAGCAAATATAAAAAATGAAATATAATTACAAAAAATTATGCTTATTAGATTATATAATATTTAAATAAAAAAATATTTATAAGATGAAGTTTACATATTTATTATTAAAAAAAAGATAGTATAATTTGAATTTATCTTATTGAGATTTGTGATATTTTGCAAATATAAAAAAGTTGTTAATGATATATGAAAGAGAAATAAAAACAGTAAAAGTATAATTGTATTTCAAATATAAAAAAGGAAATTTAACTAAAATATTAAATATAGTTACAAGAAATTATATTCAATAAAATTATTAATTATTGAAAAGAAAGATAATATAATTTAAAATTATCTAGTTTATTGAGAATTGTAAAATATTATAAGTATAAAAAAGAAAAATTACTTATAATTGTTAATGATATATGAGAAAAAAAATGTTAATAATAAAGATATAGTAGTATTGCAAATACAGAAAAAAAACTTCATCAAATATATTAAATATAATTACAAGAAATTAAAATGTATTTAAAACCATCTTTTTAACCTTTAATAAATTTTTTTAAAATTTAATTTTACAAAAAGATAAATAAAAAGAAGTAAGTAGTTTAAACCAAAAACAACTTTTATATAATAATTTGACTTCTCAAATATATCTAACATCTATTTCTAATAATTATAATATAAAACAAAATCTAAATTTATATCTTTTGCTTTTATATCATTAATCTAACAAAATAACAGAAATTATTAATCAAAATATATTACTTAAATACAATTGTTATTTATTACTGTGAAATTTTTACCTTTTAATATGTGGCAACTCAAATAAATAACGAACAGACTCAATATACAGAGCAGACTTTTGAGTTTGGACAGCTGTGAAAACTGAGCATACGGTAAGTATATATATAGAAGACCTTCTAGTGCTTCCAATTCCAATATCTTTAGAACCCTTTGAAGCACTAACTTGCGACAACACATTTCTAAAATTTTACAATATAGATCCACTAAAATCTGACCAACTATTAGATCATTTATGAAACATTTAAAAGAGAAAAAATTCACAAAATCAACAAAATTTTCTATCAACAAACAATTTAACAAAGCACATATATACCTTCTATATAATGATTTCACTCTTTCTCAATACTACAACACTTCTCTCAGAACCTTTACAAATCTAATAATTTCTTACTTTGATGACAACTTAAATATTTCTAATCTAACAACAAATACTTCAAATAATATTAATCTACAAACAACTACTAATACCAATACTAATAATACTAACAACTCACTTTCTCTCAATATTATAACTTACAATGTTAAAGAATATAACAACTTTCTTAAAAAACAACTATAGGAAGATTTCTGTCTCTCTCACGACTATAATATTATTAGCCTAACAGAAACCAAACTCACCAACTCTAAATCAAAATATTTTAATACTAAATATCTTACATACCATCTATCAAATTTTACTTCTTCAGTAGAAGGAACTAGAATTATGATCTCAAACAAATTAACACTACACATTTACAAAATCCTTAAACATGAAGGAGGTGCAATTTCTATTGATCTCTTCTTCAAATATGACTTCAAATTCAGAATAATTTCAGTATATCTATCCTCCACTGATATATCACGAGAAATTCAACACAAACCAAAGTTAACTAATAGATATGACAAGCACTTAGCCAACAACTCTATCTAATAGTTCTTGGTGACTTTAACATGAATATCTCTACAACAAATTCAACAAGTTCAAAATCTAGACTCATTAACTTTCTTACAAGTAACAACTTATATGATCTTGCCAACCACACATCTAATACATCCTATATATGACATAATAATCAATCACAAACTAGAATTGACTACATATGGTATTATAAATCCATTATACCATATCTTTAGAGATTCAGTTTGGAAGATCTATTAACATCTACACAAAGTGACTATATGATACTCGTATCTTCATGGTTATTTTCTTATACTAATACAAATTATAAACAAAAATTTAAAGCAAATA